CGATTCATGTCTCAAGCCTGTTCTTACTGATATTGGAATCCTTCTGAAGAAAAATATTCAACTCACAACCCCATGGGCCAAATACTTTATTTAGAGGGTCCCCTAAATAAAGTATTCTAAATAAAAGGACCGGATAACCCCACAAGTCAACTTCTCCCAATAATGAGCAAGAAATGTTGTTGCGCGGACGGGGAAGGAAGGAAAGACAAAGGAAGAGGTGGAGGAAAGATGGTGTGTGACAAAGTTGTGTGTGAAAGATGGTGTGTCAAAGATGGTGTGTGAAAGATGGTGTGAAAAATGGTCTTTGACGGTGTGTGAAAGATGTGGTGTCAAAGATGGTGTGTGACAAAGTTGTGTATGAAAGATGGTGTGTGAAAGATGGTGTGTGGCAAAGTGGTGTGTGAAAGATGAAGTGTGAAAAATGGTCTGTAACGTGTGTGAAAGATGGTGTGTGACAAAGTGCTGTGAAAGATGGTGTGCCACAGATGGTGTGTGAAAGATGGTGTGTGAAAGATGGTGTGTGACAAAGCGGTGTGTGAAAGATAGTGTGTGACAAAGTGGTGTGTGTGTGTGAAAGATGGTGTGTGACAAAGTTGTGTGTGTGTGTGAAAGATGGTGTCAAAGATGGTGTGTGAAAGATGGTGTCAAAGATGGTGTGTGAAAGATGGCGTTGATGGTGTGTGAAAGATGGTGTGTGACAAAGTGGTGTGTGAAAGATGGTGTGAGAAAATATGAAAGATGGTGTGTGACAAAGTGGTGTGTCAAAGATAGTGTGTGACAAAGTGGTTTGTGCAAGATGGTGTGTGACAAAACTGTGTGTGAAAGATGGTGTGGGACAAAGTGGTGTGAAAGATGGTGTGTCAAAGTTGGTGTGTCAAGGATGGTGTCTGAAAGATGGTGTGAGGCGCAGCTCCTCCAGGAGGCTCTGTGTACTGCGCCTGCCACACGAAAGGCAGCCGAGGCCAAACGGCGGCCACGTGCGCCGCAGCTCCACCTGGAGGCTCTGTGTACTGCGCCTGCCACATGAAAGGCAGCCGCGGCCCAGCGGCGGCCACGCGCGCCGCAGCTCCTCCAGGAGGCTCTGTATACTGCGCCTGCCACACGAAAGGCAGCCGCGGCCCAGCGGCGGCCACGCGCAGCTCCTCCTGGAGGCTCTGTGTATACTGCGCCTGCCACAAGAAAGGCAGCTGCGGCCCAGCGGCGGCCACGCGCGCCGCAGCTCCTCCAGGAGGCTCTGTGTACTGCGCCTGCCACACGAAAGGCAACCGCGGCCCAGCGGCGGCCGCGCGCGCCGCAGCTCCTCCTGAAACCCTCTGTTACTTGGCTTTGCTCAGCGGAATTGAAAAATTCTTTTTTGGAATTTTTTCTGTGTCATTTTTATTGTGTTTTTTTTCCTCTCGCTTGTTGCTTTTAAACTTATTTTCATTTCTCGTTTGCTCTCGTAATTATACTTCGTACCTTTGCCTCACGTTCAATATACTTTCATAATAACCTTGTCCCACATCCACATTGTCCATCTTGGAAGAAACTGAGCAAATGGATATTGATTTCAAAGTGCCATGTTTAAGAACAAGAATCTTGTTGACCAGATCATGGAGATATTTTCCAAGAGGAAAAAGTAATTCAAAACCTCGTTTGACCTTTGCTCTTGGCTCTTGAAACCTAGCTTGCCCCTTCAAGGTGAAGCTGTAACAGCTTCCCTTGCACCCAATCTTCAAGGCAAAGCTGCTCCGGCTTTCCTTGAAGGCTTGGCAATGACAGCTGAAGCCGACGGGGTTATTGGGGCCAGGCGGAAATGGAGGAAATTGGGAGCAAAATGGCAGAGTAGCTTTCCTTTAGACACTTCTAATGTCAGCTTGGGGTCATGGCTAGACGAGCAAGACGAACCATGGGGAATCGGTTGCAAAGCTTGTCGGTCAGCAGGTTGCATGGGCAATCTTGCGCAATATTTAGTGACATCAGAAGCTGGCATTCAAAAGGAAAACTTTATTAAGCACCAGAAGCTTGTTTTGACTATGTGTCGGAGAAAGACCTTTGTAAAATGATAGGCAATAGTGTTCCTGTGCCACTGATAGGAGAAATCATGCAGGAAGCCATGTTTGCCGCAGGCTTGATCAGCGAGAAAAAACAATTCCTTGCTAGTCGGTTTCAGCTGGACTGGCTGCATCGGCCAGCTTGGCTGCTTCGGCCAAAGTCTAATTCATCGTCACGCTTGACATGGGGCCGCGTGAAAAAAGGTGCTTCAAGGATCCAATTTTTTGGCTGGCTTTGTTTTCCTGGCTTGACTGTCTTTGATATTTCACTTATACTCGTTACCAGAGCGAAGTTCCTTGTTCCTTAAAAAACTAGACATCATGTCAACGCCAAATGATGCTGTTTTTTAGGATCCTTTGGCTGCTTCGGCCAAATGATGCAGGGCTGTCCCCCAAAAAAATTGCACAGGAATGTCTGAGACATTTATCCCTGGAAATGTAGAAAGTGTCGTCGTCATTCGATTTTTTTTCTCCTTCGGTATTTTTTTGAAATTCACCATTCGACTGGTCGTCGTTAAGGATTCGGCAGTTTGAAGTTTGAACATTTTTGAAAATTTCAAAAAACTCGTTCAGAAAATTCAAACCAATAATTCAAAGCAATCCTCGGAGACACAAACATGAACTGAACAATGCTTTAAGCGAAGCTTGAAATATAAATCTGTTCGAAAAAAATTCCGTTCGGCAGAACGAACCCTCAAAAACGTAATTTTGTAATTCGCTGCTGTACTTGAAAATTCGGAAAAAAATTCCGTTCGGCAGAACGAACCCTCAAAAACGTAATTTTGTAATTCGCTGCTGTCCTTGAATTTCGGGAAAAAAATTCCGTTGAGCAGAACGAACCCTCAAAAACGTAATTTTGTAATTCGCTGCTGTCCTTGAATTTACAAAAACGGTGGTGTAAGGAGAGGACTGTTAGTCCTCTCCTTAAACGCCGCGCTGCTGTCAGTGAGCTGTGTAAGAAGAGGGCTGTGAGAGGACTATTGAAAAAAATCCTTAAAGCAAAACAGCATTTTTCAAATAGTCCTCTCACAGCCCTCTCCTTACACACTTCGCTGCTGTCAGTGCGGCATCTAAGGAGAGGACTGTTAGCCCTCTCCTTAGAAGCCTCACTCAAGTCGTTTCTCGTTGTTTTCGGCTCACAGGCTACACAGTGTGTAAAGGTAATAAGCTGTTTCGGCTTAAACCTTGAAACGTCCCAGGCTGACTTGGCCTGCTATCACAGGCTGTTTCTGCCTGGAATATACCTCACAGACTGGTTCGGTCTGGGGGTATGCCAAACCCTATGGAGTCAGGGTGGGCGCCCATGCTTTGTATCGACTGCGGTGGCGTCTTAACCAAGTATGGGAGTTTCAAGTACGAAGGCGAGGACATCTACAAGGCGACGATGGAAGGAGCATGGGCTTTCCTGCTTTTGTGGCAGGCTGCATATGGCGAAGATGCGGTGAAAATCATTTCAAAGGTGAATTGGTGTACTCGAAAAGAGAAGCCATTCCACTCGGCCAGCCCGCAGAATTCGAATGCGACTCCGAAGCCCAAGCCAAAAGCAAAATCCAAAGGAAAAGCACAAGCAAAAAGAAAGGCAAAAGGACAGAAAAGGAAGGCCGCTGAAATGGACCAGGAGGACGCGGGCGGCTGCGAAGACAAGGATGCCGACGAGGACCAAGAGGAGCAGGAGCAGGAAGAAGAAGACATTTGGGATCCACTGAATGACGGCGAAGAAAACATTGGCTGACACGGCCAAGATTTCAAAATCACTGGCTGACGCGGCCAGGAGTTCCGTCATGGCTGACACGGCCATGGGTTGCCGAAATTTTGACAGCGTGCGAGCGGGAGTAAAAAGGTTACCTGCATGTGCTTCGCTTCAGCAGCTACCTCACGCATGCATGCACGCGCACACACACAGACGACAATCACACGCAAGAATCAAAAGGGTCAAATCTGGGATTTCCCCAGCCGTGTTTGGACTAAAGCAAAATAATATATAACCGTTTGTCAGTCGTCATGTTGGCCATGCCAGCCCCAAAGCAAAAGAAGCCAGCAGCTCCTGTCCTTACAAAAACGATGAAGCCGATGCGCCAAATCCAGAACCATTTGTTGACTAAAATGCCACCCCTTTTGCTCATGAACATATACAACTATTTGAAGAAGTGTCGATCGAGAAAGGTTTGGAAGTTGGCTTTCAAGCTCGCCAAGAGATGATCCAGCGCAAAGGCATGCGGTGGTTTACTGAAAATAACGACGTCCAAACATCAGAGGTTTGCCCTAAAGGCTGCCTCGGCCTCAGGGTCCAACGGCTTGGCCAAATTTAGCTGCAGTCATTCTTTTGGCTGCCTCGGCCAAAGAATTTAAAAATTGATTAGCTAAAGTTCCAGACATGGAACCTGTGCTTGGGTTGAAAAAAGCAGCGGCGCCAGGCCTAGAAGACTTATTTTGGAATCTCGTGCAAACTTGTGCCTTTTCTCGTTGAAACCTGACTTGGGATAAAGTTACATGACAATATGCAACAATAATCGGGTTAAAATCACCAAGTCACCTGGCTAGCTGGTTCAGTCATCATCAACATTTTAAATCGAAATAACTTAGAATTCTGTTTTCCCACCATTGTCATATGGAACCAATTATGATACAGATATTTTGGAAACTCGTTACGAAGCAAACAAGTTATTTTCTCGTACAGGTCTGCAAGGGACAAAAAAAAAATCCTCAAAAGAATTTTTCAATTCTGCTAAGCGGAACTAAGGTTAATGCGCCTGCCACACGAAAGGCAGCCGCGGCCCAGCGGCGGCCACGCGCGCCGCAGCTCCTCCTGGAAGCTCAGTGTACTGCGCCTGCCACACGAAAGGCGGCCGCGACATGCTTTTTTTTCAGGCCACCACACCTGGCTCTGAGATCTGTACATCTGTACATGCCCTTGTTCAAGGCTTTTGGCCCTTGTGCAAGGCTCCAATTTTTGGCTCTTGCTCAGAGCTACTTTCCTTTTCCTTTGCCATTGCCCTTGGGTTTATTCTTCTGCTTCCTCATGAGGGCATCTTTGCATGGGGTCTCTTCCTCCACTGGTTCCAGTTTGGGCATGCCAACCGTTTTTGGCCTTGCCCCCTTGGGTCCTTTTGCTGGTGCAGGCTCTTCTGGTGGATGGCATTCAGATGAGCTAGATTCCTCATCTGTTTGGGCTCCCTTGTCCTCATTCCTTTGGCCAGCTGTGGAGCTGCTGCTGGATCCTAGCAGGCAGGTCACAAAAAAAAACACAGCTGCAAATTGCAAACTTGAAAAGCCAAGTCATGCAAACTGGAACAACTGTTTCCAAACTGGCCTTGCTGGCCTTGCTGGGGGCAAGCCCCTGACAGAAATGAAAAAATGACATGATATTGATGATTTTTTGTTGCTGGGGCATGCAGAAACCATCAACCACAGCCCTGCCTGGCTGCACATAGAACCACTCATCCCTCCACCCATCATCCCTCCACCCATCATCCCTCCACCCATCATCCCACCACCCATCATTCCTCCACCCATCATTCCTCCACTCATCCTTCCACCCATAATCATCCCACCTTTCATCCCAGGTTTCTGGCACACAGTCTCTGTGCTGCTGGGCATCATCCCTTGGTGCCTCCTCCCCTTCTGTTTTTCTTTCACCCATCTGGTCGTGCTGTGGCTTCTGCTCCTGGAAGGGGGCCCAGGCTTTGTGTAGTCTGGGGATCCAGGCGAGCTTGAACTCACCATATGCCCTTGTGCAAGGCCTTGAGACCCTTGTGCAAGGCTCCAAGCCCTTGTGCGAAGCAATCTTCCAGAAAAGGCACTGCCCCTTGTACAGGGAAGTTTCTGAAAACTAGCCTATAGCTTTGAACCATAAAAGAGGCTATGCATGCCAAACCTTTTGTGCATGGTTCATGACAAAGCACCTGTTGCAACTTCAGCTCCGCAGGCTAATCTGTGCTGCTATGCAAGCCTGTGCTGTGCTGGAAGCCAAGCTTGCCCAAGCAGCATGCACCATTTTTAAACATTCAAGGCCAAAGGTCCATCTGAGCAAATCCCAGCCCTTGCACAAGGCTTTTGCAGCCAGCCCTTGCACAGAGCTTGCAGCCTGCAGCACATTGAGTTTCAGCCCTCTCTGCAAAGATGGAAGCTTTGGTGGCGCCTTTTTCTTTACACTTGGGCAGCAGCTCCTCAATCAATGCCCTGTGGCTGATTTTCAAAAGCTTGGCCCTTGCAGCTGTGCAGGCAGTGATCAGTCTCAGGCTGGTGCCAGGGCCATCTGGCATGTGCTGGGTGTAGGATTTGTTTTTCCCACCACCAAGTTTCAAAGATGGCTGATGGATGAGACCTGGGCCACCTTTGGCCTTTGCAGCTGGCTTCTTGAATGGTGGCCCTTGTGCAAGGCACCCCTTCCCAGCAGGTTTCTTTGCCACATCTTTGCCAGCTGCTGCCTTCCAGTCTTTTTTGAGCACAGGTGGTGGGCTTCTCCCCAAGTATGACTCAGAAGCACCTCCTGCTGCACTCTCAGCTGCAGAGGGCCCACCATCACTGTCAGACTGGGTCGCCAACATGCTAGGAAAGCCATCAGGCCCAACTGACACTTCGCTTACTTCTCTTTTCAGGGTCCTTTTCCTGGCCTCTACTTCTGAGTTGTCCAGTGCCATGCCTTTCCTCAAGCCTTCCATGACACTGGCTTGTGCCATGTCCAGGCTCCTTTGAATTTTTTCCAATGCTTTCTCAGTTGCTGTGACCCTTCTCCAGTTCTTGAGCAGCACTGTGATGCTATCAGCACATCTTCCAGGAAGCAGGGCCTTCTCACAGTCAAAGTGGGCAGCCAGGATGTCATGCCCAAACTTCTTCATGATGCCACCAAGTGCCTGCTTCAGGCTGGCATACTTGATTTGCCCTGTTGGTTGGGCTGCCAGCAAGCTTTCAAGAAGTTTGCAGAGCTTGTACATGTCCCTTGGCACCTCAGCTTGCTGTGGCTGCAAGTTTTTGTACTGGTGCAAGTTGAATGCCTGCTCCTTTCCATTCCCAGCATCCTCATACCAGTAGTACCGCACAAGGCGGTGGCGGAAGTTTCAAAAATGGAAAACCTATAGGAGAGGTGACTTGGTGTGACGCAACAATGGCAGAGCGAACCCACTGATGGATTGAAAGGTGAACCTAAAACCATCAAGAACCTAAAACCATCAAGATCAAACAAAGATCGTTTGAGACACAACCCGTGTTGTGAGAGCTAACCCGTCTTAAGTGAAGATTGACATTCTCATGACTAAAAACCAAGCATCTACACATCATTCATAGGATGACAGTCATATCATCACAATACCAACATATTGAACATATAGATGAATCCACCATGAAAGGACAACCGATATTCTCTCATCCAATGGACATGTTCCTACCATAAGCGTCGATACAGGATTAGAAAGACAGCTATCATGCAATGGTATAACCCACGGTTATGATCGTACAGAAAAACATGAAGAAATGTTACCCATCCCTCCGACGTGTCTGCCTCACGGTGTCGCGGCAGCTTGTTTTTTCCTAGCAACAGCGGACAGGAATCTTCGGCTGCCGCTGCGCTGGCGTGCGCCATCGTGCCGTCAGAAGTACAGAAAAACATGAAGAAATGTTACCCATCCCTCCGACGTGTCTGCCTCACGGTGTCGCGGCAGCTTGTTTTCTCCTAGCAACAGCGGACAGGAATCTTCGGCTGCCGCTGTGCTGGCGTGCGCCATCGTGCCGTCAGAAAAACAGACCCGAGGCCGGGCTTGGCTTGAATCCCACGTATATCTATCGATCGATCTATCGATCTATCTATCGATCAATCTATCTATATGTCTGTCTATCTATCATGTTTTCTATCCATCTATCTATCGAGCTAACTATCTCTCTATCTATTTGTCTATCTGTCTATCTATCAATCAAATTCTCTCTCTCTATATATATATATCTCTCACTCTATCTGTCTATCTGTCTACCTGTCTATCTGTCTATCTATCTGTCTATGTCTCTACCCATCTATTTCTCTATTTGTCTTGGTATCTAACTATCTATGTGTCTATGTATCTATCTGTCTATCTCGCCATCTATTTCTCTAGCTGTCTCTCTGACTATTTATCTGTCTGTCTGTCTGTCCATCTATCTATTTATCTATCTGTCTGTCTGTCCATCTATCTATCTATCTATCTGTCTATCTATCTATCTATCTAGCTATCTATCTATCTGTCTATATATCTATCTATGTATCTATGTATCTATGTACCTATGTATCTATCTATCTATCTATCTATCTATCTATCTATCTATCTATCTCTCTATGTATCTATCAATCTCTCCATGTATCGATCTGTGTATCTATCGATGTATCTATCTATCTATCTATCTGTCTGTCTATCTATCTATCTAGCTAGCTATCTATCTGTCTGTCTGTCTATCTATCTGTCTATGTCTCTACCCATCTATTTCTCTATTTGTCTTGGTATCTAACTATCTGTCTATGTGTCTATGTATCTATCTCTCTATGTATCTATCTCTCCATGTATCTATCTATCTCTCCATGTATCGATCTATGTATCTATCGATGTATCTATCTATCTATCTATCTATCTATCCATCCATCCATCCATCCATCCATCCATCTATCTATCTATCTGTCCTTCTATCTGTCTGTCTGTCTGTCAGTCTATCTGTCTAGCCATTTATCTATCTATCTCATTTACCCAGCTGGCCTCTCTCTCTCTCTTTCATCTAATTACCTATCTATCTATCTACCTACCTGTCTATCTATCTCTCCCTTTCATCTGTCTATCTGTCTAGCTGTCTACCTGTCTATCTGTGTTGCAGTGTCATTCAGTGTAATGTAGTGTGGTGTAGTGTAATTTAGTGTAGTGGAGTGTACTGGAATGTAATGTAGTGCAATGTAGTGTACTGGAGTGTAGTGTAGTGTAATGTCCTGTAGTGTAGTGTATTGAAGCGAAGCGACATCTGAACCTCCAAAAGTGGTCCGGACCTGGTGTGTTTTGTACATTTTGACTTAAGACGGGATGAACACAAAGCCAAAGGGATAAAGATGGTATAAAAAAGGGATAAAGACGGGATAAACACAAAGCAACCTGTATGTTGGCAACTTACAGGTCTTTTTGGGGATTGCTGGGCCGCCTCTGGTGCTGTATGTTGGCAACCTACAGGTACTTATGGGGGTTTCTTGACCGCCTTTGGGGCTGTAGGTTGCCAACATACAGCCCCAAAGGTGGTCCAGCAATCCCCAAAAAGACATGTAGGTTGCCAACATACAGCCCCAAAGGCGGTCCAGCAACCCCACGGCAGACCTGTAGGTTGCCAACCTACAGCCCCAAAGACGGTCCAGCAACCACCAGAAGGCGGCCGCCACTGCCCAGGCCACTGCATGAGTCGCACCGTGCTTTTTTTACGGAGGACCCGCAGGAAATTCAAGAAGAAGAGCTGGAAGGTTAGAAACCAGCTCGCTTGCAAGAGCCGAGCAGCACCGTCTCACAAGAACCGGTGGGAGAGTTCCAACATGCTGAGGAAAACAAGACAGCTGCTTAATTTGTCAACGTCTCTTGTTGTACGGTGGCTCTCTGGACCATGATGTTAGTCGTTAGTGGGCCGTGGAAATGGATATTAATTCAATGTTAAAAGAAAACTTGCCTCCAGAGTGGATGTCTCTTCCTGTTGGCTCACAATTTTCGTCGGGGCTTGGGGCTCCGTTTTGGGGGCAGCTGGGGTCTTGGTTGCCGCCGGTGTCATGCTGCCCTGACTAGAACTCAGCAAAAAGTGCCATAATAATTTGTCTCTTGTCATGCCATTTGCCTTGCAGTGGCTCTCTGGGCCGTAGGTGAAAGTGGCAGTGGCTCTCTGGGCCCAGGTGTTCGAGACCATCTTTTGTCTTGGCATGTCATTGTTTGCATTACAGTGGCTCTCTGGGCAATAGGTGTACGTGGCTCTCTGGCTTACTTGTGCTTAGTAAGGAATGAGGGAATGATCCACAATAACTATCAATAATAATCCCATATAATCCCATTCCCCCATTCCCATCCATTCCCTGCTAAGCACCAGTAAGCTGGGCCATATTAACCATTGCCGTGTGTCTCCTGTAGGCCATCTTGACCATGGGATGCTTTGACCATGCCTATAGGGCCTTTGGAAACTTGATAGTTTTGAAGTCAAGTGACCGGAGTTGTTACAAGCTCTTCGAAAACTGTGCCGTTCCTTG